TAATGGGCTTAAATTGTACCAAGGCAGATTTAAGTTGGACATTAGAAAAAACTTCCTACATGTCAGGGTAGCTAAGCACTAGAATAAATTGCCTAGGGAGGTGGTGGAATCTCCATCATTGGAGTTTTTTAAGAGCAGGTTAGACAAACACCTGTCAGAGATGGTCTGGATAATACTTAGTTCTGCCTCACACCTGTCGAGGTCCCTTCCAGTCCTATATTTCTAGGATTTAAAAAAGTTGAAATGAAGAGTCATTTTTAAACGGAAAATCAAAATGCTCCATTCCGCCCCGCCCCCACAAACAAAATGTTGTCAAAATTAACATTACCGCAAAACGTTTCCCTTTTGACAAATCCAAAGGAAAAGCATTCCATCTGGAAATCTCCAGCCAGCTCCATTGCTGTCACATGGTACTATCTGAGAAGCTGATGCGGCCATGCAAACAGACAGTCACATAATGGCGTACACACAAGGCAGCAGAGTGGGGGGAGGGTGCAAGCAATAGGTGCTTAGCCCTGATATTCTGCAACTGTGATATTCTTTTAATGTAGTTTCTTAACGGAATTGTCTAGGTTAAAACAGTTCTATAAACTGGGTTTATTCCTCTAGACACCCCAGGATAGTCCGCGGAGATCCTCCCCTCTGGGACCCTTTACATCTTGTAAAAAGAGCTGGAGTAGCATGAAGAGGCCCTAAAAGCCCCATAACTGGCCAGGGGAGGATTTCTCCAGTGTAGGCACTGTGGAAGACCACCATCAGATTGCCCTTCGACTGGAGGAACCCCTTGCAAGCCCACGTGGAGGGGACATGCTGGGGGTAGGACTAGGGATGGGAAAATGTGTTGTAGGTAGGTCTGCAGCACACGGTGTGGATTCTAGGCAGTACTGTGTGGACAGGTTGTGGCAATGCAGCTAGGCTCCCAGAGCGGTTTTAGGTTATGCCAGGGGGCCCTCCAGCCCTCAGAGCAGCCCAAGCTGGGGAGGGTGCATCAAGCCATCTTAGCCCTCCCTTGCCCCATGGAAAACAGGCACAGCACAGAATCTCACGCAAGGTGCACAGTGAACCCAAGGACTTCTGCTTGCAAGGATGCTAAAAACTTTCTGCGGGGATGCACTACATTTTCAACAGCACAGGTCAATGCCCATTACATTAGACAGCAAAGGCTCAGTTCTTCCAGGGCAGACCGCACAGACCCCGAAATCATCAAAATCCATGGGATTACTCAGGTGCTTCTGGGAAGAGCACTCAGCACCTTGCAGGACGGACCTCAGAGTGGGCAGGAAATGCTGCCTAGCTCGTTAGGCCACGCATGCATGGTCTGGGCTACAGACTACAGACTGCTTCTCAGTCACACTAAGACCCCTTTACACTGCTGTGGCAGCCCAAAGGCTCAGTAAGGAAGGTGAACATTTCACTCACATTAAGGCTTCTTTACTTTGGTGGTGTGTGTGTGTAAAAGAGCCTTGCTGCAATTGAGAATCGGGCCCACAGCACCACCTGTATGTGAAATTTGATTTCCAAACCCTCGTAAGCTCACTCAAATCAAACCCAATTTTCCCAGCAACACTTTTCTTCAACGTGGGCTATTTCCAAGCTGAACTTCAATGCTCAGACCCCTGACATGTTGATGCTGGAGCTGTTCAAATAAAGGGATCCAAGCACTTTTTTGTTTCTATAACGGGGACTGGGAATGTTTCCCTCTGTCCTCTCATTCAAAAAGGGTCAGACATTTTTTGCTCAAACCGCCGGGGGGGGAATCAGGTAGAGACGGGACCTGGAAAGCTTCAGCCTGGGAGATGAAAGGTTTGGAACATTGCGGAGGATTGAAAACAAGGAGTTAAAATGGAAACATTTGTGCTACTTTAGCTATAGCTGCCATTAGCACACCAGCTGCGGCACACGCCTCCGTGCACGTCGGACAAAACTGACCAGGGAACACAAGGCCCATGCGCCATCCAAGTCCTAGCTCTGCACAGGGGGATTTGACACCACCTCCCCATTGCAGAGATCCCTTCCAGAGCCTTATGCACTATGTATCTGCCCGCTTTAACTCCTAGAGCTTGCTTCTGCACTGCCATGCACCATGCAAAGCCATTGACACCAGTGCCGAGCAGCGGTATACAACACTCCCCTTCTAACTGGGCAGCATTTCACATCTGCCTTGCACAGGTATCACAGTGATGAGGGCCATATAAAGTACCTGGGTGCACAGCTAGCTAGGTAGACAGAATGAAAAGGGAGAGCTAGTGAGTGCCTGCCTGCAAGTAGCTTGATAGCTAGATGGACTTAAATGATGGCACAGGACCCGCTACATCTGAGTGGCCAGTGGTGGCTGCAAGTAGCCAGCTGTGGTTCCTTGGTCCCTGGCCGCTTGGTCCTGGCCGACATTAGAGCAGCAGGAGGACTACTCTAAATTCCACCGCTGATGTCAGCTCCAGAAGGGAGCTAGTCGAGGCCCAAGCTTAGTAGAGTTTGGCTCCCTCTTGTCCCGCCCCATCTTGCCCCCACTTTGTCTACTGGCATGCCCCATCCTCCTGCTTACCCCAGTAAAGGAGCTGGTGTAGGAGGCAGTTAAGCTGCCTCCAGCAGCTTAACACCTACATAGGGACAATTCCCCAGGGGGATCTCCAGCCAATTTAAGTTCAGTGGAAAGTGAATGTAGCCAAGTGGAAAATCCATCTCTCAGGGTGTAAGGCAGTGGGGAACCAGGCTGTGTATGCTGAAGGGATGCAGAGAGGCTGGAGTACATTCTGTCTTCAGGGGTGAAATTCACCCCAGCGCAGGCTGATTAATCTGTCTTGCTGTTATTGTACCCCTCCATCTTCCATCCAGCGCTGTTAAATTGATATCCTCATTAGAGCCCATTAAAAGCAACATTCTTTTAATGGCTGGATGGGATTATTATTATTACTTTCACAGCATGGTGTATTTAATGGTTTGGAGTAGAAATTGGTCTTCTTTATTGGGTCTCTCCCTTTTGAAATGGATTCCACCATGCTTGGAGATTCAGATCACGTTGCCTGCCCCGTTCTATACAGCGCAGTCTAATGATGTCTCTGGCTTTCTGTTGTTATTATTGTGTGTGTGGGGATGCATGTGCAACTGTTGTAGCCAATTGCTATCTGTGAAATAACCCGTGCCATTATCTCATCTGATCTCACCGATTCTGTCAGGACATACCACAGAGCCACCCAAGAACCTGTTAATCTTCCAGCAGAAAAGCTGGGAGTCTTAAATGGAGACTTTTCTGCTGCACTCGACTTTGCTAAGCTATGTTTTAATTGGACTCTGGAAAGCAGCTGCCAGCCCAATATTTAACACCCTGCAATTGCAAATTGTTGGCAAATGCAGCTGCAAGAATTGTGTGTGCAGATGAAGCGGGGCTAGGGGAAGGGCCAGCCTGAGCCTGACAGCAGCAGATATTGAAAGGGAGTTAGGGTGGGTGCATCTCAGATAGATGCTGTGGCCTAGACTGAAATCTATACTTAGGGGAGCTATATAAAGTTTGGCCTGTCTTGTTCTCTGCACGTGCCTGTCCGCATCAGCTGGAGTTTTAAACTGGTCATATTAGACTGGGACTGAATGAGACTAGGATATTTATGCAAGCCTTTAAAAAGCTGTAGGTGGGGGAATCACAGACATGGCTACAGAAATTCTGTGTTGTGGGCTAGGCCACTCCATCATGGGGATGGGTATTAAACGTATTTAAAAAAAGCTGTCCCAGCCTTGAAATTTTTTAACAAACTAATGAAATTCCCTCTCAGATTAATAGATTCTAAGGCCAGAAGGTAGCTCTGTGAGCATCTAATCTGAACACCTATCTAACACATGCCAGAGAACTGCCCCTAAATAATTCCTAGAGCAGAGCTTTTAGAAAACCCTCCAATCTGGATTTAAAATTGGTCAGTGATGAAGAATCTACTGTGACTCTTAGTAAACTGTACCAATGGTTGATCACTCTCACTCTTGAATATTTACACCTTATTTCCAGTCTGAATTGGTCAAGCTTCAACTTCCAGCCATTGGATAGTGTTAGACCTTCCTCTGCTAGATTGAAGAGCCCATTATTAAATATTTGTTCCCCATGTAGGTACTTACAGACTGTGATCAAGTCACCCCTTAACCTTCTCTTTGTTAAGCTAAATAAGTTGAGCTCCTAGAGTCTGTCATTATAAGGCAGGTTTTCTAACCTTTTAAACTATGAGCAATGATGGACCTGATGCTTCTTTGAGGCCTCTTTAAATCCAGGTACAGAGCCCTCAGCCTCTAAGTCATGGGTGCAAATCCAGATCATGCATCACTGGTGAATGAACCTGCTCATATCACCTGTGCTTTATATGGAATAGTTTGGTGGTCTCAGACAGGTGCCCGGTCAACAAAACGACCATCATAATTGGCATGGTTGCTGGCGACACTATGAACATAGACTATACGGAGGGCATAAGCATGGAGACCCTAGGTACTCCCACAGCTAGGGACAGGCTGAGCAGTTTGTGTAGAATCAGAATCTTTGCTCCCAAGCTGAATCTCAGCAAGTCAAGGTACTCTCCCATCCCCACCATGTTATTTGGTTCATTTTCTCACTGCTTCTGTGGTTGTTGGTTCTGTGGAAATTCCAGGATACCCTGAGAATGGCCCTTCTGATGGGATCTGGCCTGGGATCCCCCACCCTCAGGAGATAGCCTGTCTACATGGAACATTCAGATCAGTTTTGCAGCTCCAAGAACGTTCAAGAGACTGGAGAAGTTCTGGGGAGATGTCCAGACTTCTGAATGCTGTGTCAGATCAGTGCCCTGAACTGATCACCATTGGCTACTTGTAAGACTGCAAATACAGAGATACACTGGAGCCAAACGCCAAACTCAGAGCCTGATCTGGTTTGGAACTTTGCACTTAGGGCCCCACTCTAGCCAAACTCAGTCATTCAGGCACCAGGGAATCCCCAGGGCAGGGCGGCATTACAAAACACACATGGCTGGTCTGGCCGGTCACACACTCACGCTGTATGTCGATGGTCACGGACGTCTCCTTCCCGCTGGGAACGGCTTTGTTGGTGGCCCGGCAGACGATGTTCTGCCCGTTCTCAATGTTGGAGGGGCCGATAAAAAGGGTGCTCACGATGCTCTCCCTCTTGCCATCTCGGAGAAGTGTCTGCAGGGGGAGAAGCAGGGATGAAAGTTGGTTACTCTTGAAAGGGGCAATACATTCTTTACTCTTAGCTGTGTTTATTATGTTAGAGCTTAGGGACCAACAAGCATGAAGCCAGGTTATGGTAGTGGTAGGCACTGTACAGACAGAGCGGTAGACGGTCCTTGCATGAAGATCTTACAATCTAAATGACTGCAATTCCTATGGGGTTTGCAAAGGAGTTGATGGGGGTTAGGTGCACAAACTCCAATGAGTTTCAATGGGAGTTGGGTGCCTAACTCCAATAGGCTCCTTTAAAACCGTGCAGTGCCTTTCACCCAAGGATGACAGCTCTGGTGAGATTCATCCCACTCGCCATCCCAGGCAGGGAGATGTTTGTATTGTCAACTGAACAGACCTTGCAGCCATCAGGGGTTTCACAGCCAGTGGCCTGCTTCTTGCTCCTTGGGTCACCTCACACACCTGTGCCAAGCAAGTGTGAAACACTGCCATGCCAATCCAGTAGTATTTCACACCCACTTTGCACAACAGGAAATGAACAAGTATGCTGCCAGGCAGCGCGGGAATCAGGGCCTGAAGACTACAAGGGACCATAAGATTCCTAGAGAAGCAGCATAAAGTCACCAATTGCTGCAATGCATGGCACTGTGCAAACTGCAATTTTGCCTCCCGTGCAGTTTGCTTAGAGTGAAGGAAAGAAGCAAGCTGTGTGATCTTGGGCTTGGAGTAGAGAGTGGAGTGCCAGCGGCCAAACCCAGCCCAGGCAAAACATCACTCAAGTCAGAATCAGGCCCGAGGACTCCTAGGTTCTATTTTTGGGTCTTCCTGGGGCTCATTCTGTAGCCTTTGGAGAATCAGCCCTTTGTGAATCCATCTCTGAATTTCCACAGGGGGGGAAAAAAAAAATCACACCACCTCACTAGCCATCAAGAGAACGAATGCTTGCATTAATTAATTCTTATTATTGAGGTTTCTTTCGTTCTGGACCTCTAATGTAGGCTAATCAGACAGGTAATGCATGCCATGAGAGAGAATATTAAAAGGCCATTAACGAGCTGCCTTGCAAGCTCTGCAGTGGACGATGTGTTCAGAAAGGGTTGATGCCACCAGCAGCGGTGGCATTCCTGTGCCACGCCCCGGGTGTAAATCGTAACCACTCTGATTTGCTAGTGTTACACACCCACTTTGCAGCGGTGCAAATGGTGACCCAAGGTGCAGGGCAATGGAGCATCACGCCCTGTATCTAGCTCTACGCCCCGCCCTGGCACAAGGCAAATCTGCGGTTTTCCTTTCTCCTTGCCCTCCTATGGCACTGTATAAGGAGTGATAATGTATAACCCTCATCTTGATCAGCCCCAAGAAGCAGGGGAGGCCATCAGAGGCGCTAGCGAGGCAGCTGAGGACGCTCCACTCCAATGCTGCAGTTATCCCCCGTCGCACACAGGCTCAACCTTCGGATCTGCCTGTTCATGGGCAGGGAGGAAGGTCTTTGTGAAAGGCCTGGCGTAGCGAGTAGAAATCTTCTGCTGGGCGGATCTGATTTATGGCCCTCCGGCAGCATGGCCGACCAAAACGTTCAAAAAACCACCCATCAGGCCTCCAGAAAACCATGCGATGGGTGTAAAAATCAGGAGGTTTTTAAAAGAAATAATAAACGTTCAGTTCTTTTATTTGCCTTTAGGATTCTGAACGTTTAGGATACACTTACGTCACGGTTTCAAGCCTCTGCAACCAGGAATGCTAGAAACCTGACTCCAGGAGCTGGGGCTTTAAGAAAAGCACCAAATATTGCGAGACTTGTAATAAAATCATGAGAGCTGACGACATTGCCACAGGGCTGTAGGCACAACCTGGCCCCATCTGGCATGGAAAGTCTCTTGCATGATGCCTCCCCAGTATGACAGCCCTTTTCCTCCAAGCCCTTCCATGCCAGCTGCTTAAGATGCACTGGGAGTCTCGGCTTCTCATTTGAGATGGGGCCACACTTTGTATGCAGCGAGTGCGCTTAGGCTTTGGAATTAATGCAAACACAAACACAGATATATTTGAAAAAGGGCTGATATTCCTTCACTGCCACGGCAATTGGCAGGTCTGAAACGAAGAGGGCTTAACTCTCTCTTCCCCAGCGCTGGGACTGACCCAGCCCTCAGCGGAGAAGAAGATTTGGAGCGATTGCAATTAGTTACAAACGATTACATGTTAATGGCCTAGATTTTAATTAATTTCACCCAAATTGGTGCAGAGAGGGGTCAGTTCTTTCAGGTTTTAATTAGCGCCATCTGCCGCGTGGCATCCTGGGAAGTGGGGGCAGGAAGGGGCAGCTGTGGATTTGATTTTGTTTTTTGCTCGGTCCCCGTTTCAGGTTGCAAGAGGGAGAGTGAGGCAATGCTAATCAGGGGAGTAATATTATCATGGGGGCTGGACGAGCAGGGTTTGTAGGGGGCTATGGGGATTGCAGATTTGTCCTTGCTCAGATGCACATGCTGCAGGCAGGTTACCCTTTCACAGCTGTGGTGCTCAACAGCCTGCTTGTTCCTTGCTGGAGACTGCTGCCGGCAGGGGAAATGAAATGTCTCAGGATTTGGGTGCAATAAAGCAGGAATCCTTCTGTGACACTGCAGGCAAATCAGATAGCAGCTAGGGACAGAAAGGTCATAATCCCTATGCAAATGAGATGCTCCCTTCTCCAGTAGCCTCCAGATGGCCTGTGGGGCCAGGCTGGCTCATCTGGGGGGAGCTATAGGCAGGGATGGAGGCAGCTGGGCACAGGGGAGATGGATCTCCCCAGGGGCTGCAATCGGATGATGATTCGTGGGTCTCACAAATTTGTTTTCCATCCGGCCAACACTTCCTGGAGCTGCCCAAGAGCTTCCAAACAGCCCCTGTCTGTCACACCCAGCCCTCCCAGTGCCCTTCCAGGCAGGTACATCTCTCCCCCCCACGCCAGGGCTAGTCGGTTTAGGCTGTGGTTGGTTTCTTAAGGAAATACCCCCCACCCCACACACACACACACACTTCTCTTCATCGCTCTCAGGTTTACATGGGGAATCTCCTTGTGGTATCTAAGCCCTGCTTTCACCACCAGCATTGGACGCCTCTCCCCGCCTCATCTAGATCTCTGTAGCATCCCCGCTACCTCAGCTTGCGTGGCAGGCTGTGAACCCTGACAGCATCGCCTGACACTGCTGCCTTCCTGCTCGTCTGAGATTCTCTGCTTGTGTCAGTTCGAGGTCCACCGCTACCATCCTGACAGGCCGGGCCCCAGCGCTCACTCCAGAACTGGGCCTCTGGTGCCTGTCCTCACTATCCCTGCTGAGATCTCAAGAGTCATTCCCCTCATCTGGTTTCTCCTGGCCTCCGTTCGGTAGCTCTGCAGGACAGTTGGGCTCCAGGACCCAAGGGAGTTCATCCCCCCATGGCCCAGGAAACTCCTTGCTGCTGACACCACCCTCTGTGATGGAATTTAATGGAACATGGACCCCTCTGCCTTTGGCTCCTCATTACCTGTTGCAAGAACCAGTGTCTTGTATTGGTCTGGGAGCCATCACTTTGGGCAAGATGGTGACTAGGGTGGTGATGGAGAGAAGGAAGCAGCAGAGCCAGCCTCTCGGGGGACCCCAGACGCTGTGGCATGTGCTACATCCCAGCTGTTTTCCAGGAAGAACAGCAGTGACAGCTCTCTGCCCGGGCTCTAAGATCCATTCTGGAACAGCTCCTGCTCTAGGCCACCCTGTCAGTTGATGTCGCAGTAGCACTGACTCTGCAGCAGAGCTGGGTGAAATGTTTTCAGCAAATAGTAAATTCACTGAAAAATGCATTTTGAGGTACTGAAACAACCTGCAAATTCAGGTTGAATTGGGCAACTCGTTTCGGCCAAAAACAAAAATATTTTTTCCCCTAAGGAAAAGTCATAACAGTTCATTTCAACCATTTTGAAACAAAACATTTGGACTTTTCATTTAGAAATGTAGCAATACTTATTTTTTCACCTTGGACTTGCCCCAACCAACCAAGGAGGCATGTGTGTCTATCTACTCCCCTCATCAAGATGGAGGAAGGCTACAGGAGGGGCGTCAACAATCAACCTGCAGCTTCTGTATGTCCAAACCATCAGTGCCATCTACCAAGCTTCCTGCCTTAAAGCTCTGGCCGCTGCAAAAAAGCCGACAACTATTCCTCGGGGATTTCATCAACAATTCTTTCCTGGATGGTCATCTGATGCAACCAGACTATACCAGGAATTTAAATCCACCAACAACGAGCAGGTTATTGAAAAAACTAGAGCTCTTCTAGATCAAACCAGGCAAGAGTGATGGAAAGAAACTGTTTCCAAATTGTATTTCACAAAGCCCAGTCTCAAAGCCTAACAAACTATTACGAGATTGAGGGGAGATTCTCGTTGGGACAAGAGAGTTATACCCAGTTATTGCATCCCAGCTGGTGGTCAATGGCAGAGCTCATAATCAAGACAAAGCCTTCAGACATGCAGTTGAAATGGTGGCTGCTGTGAGATGGCAGGTTTGAGCATGGACGTGAACCTGATGACTCCTTTTACCGATCAAGAGCATCACAACTTCAGGTCAGATCCCACTGAAATCTATGGACAGAGCCCTAAAACCCAGCCTTGTCCTTCCACACAATCTCACCACTTGGATGCAAAAGTCTTCTCCTGGAGAACAGGCATGAGCAAATTCAGCTGGAAACCAGCTTTGTACAGTGAGCTAGGATTTAAAAACAGGCTTATAATGGAAAAAGAATGGTTTTGTAGGCGTAACTGTGGAGTCATTACTGGAGCTCCACAATGCAGTGAAATAGTAAAAATAAATAGTAAAATAATTTGGTCTTGGGAGAAGAGATACCTATACACATAGGCAGCACTGTGATCCCTGAGGTGACTCCTGAATTGCACCAGGGATGAGTTTGTCTCTGTACCTTTCCACCTTTCCAATGCAGAGGAAATATAAGAGCCACAGGAGGCCAATGCAGCTGCACAAGGAGCTTTTTGGCTATCTAAAGCCCAAAAGGGATACATACAGGAAATGGGAGGAGGGGCATGTCACCAAGGAAGCATACATGGGAATAGCGCAAGAATGTGGGGACAAAAAAAACAGGAAAGCCAAGGCAAAGAACTGTCAAGGAATGTACAGCCCCTTCCTGTTGTCTCTAACAAATATCAGACAAAAAGAGAAAGATCAAGGATGGCGTGTGTCCACTGCTCAATGGAGAAGGTGAGCTGGGGACAGAAGGCAGAGCTGCTCAGTGCCTACTTTGCTTCAGTCTTCTCTCAAAAGATAATGTGACTGGATGACTAGCAAAGTTACCAAAGACCACAGCCTTGGATGGGTTAGACACAACAAATCCTGCGTCTTGGCAGGGGGTTAGACTAGATGATCCCTGCAGTCCCCTCTGACCCCATGTTTCTATATTAGTGCAGTAAAAGCTGTTCAAACATGAGCCACGTTTCAGAACCAAGTTTCACTATCACAGTTATAACACTGAGCACTTTCCTACATCTTCAACTAATACAACCCATCCACCCATGGCACTGTAGGTATTTATGGTCACCCCATTTTAGAGATCAGGAACCTGGGGTTAGGTGCCACAAACTACCCAGTGGCACAAAGGTCAGAGGTGAAACTTGGCTCCTAGAGCTGCATTCAGCCCCCTGGAACCAGCCTCTCTCTGTTTTACTTCTTAGTGAAATCTTATCAGTCCAAGCCTACAATAATTGCAAGCCAGCAGTTCAGCCTCTGGCTCACAGTGTCACCAGCATAATTGGGATGGAAACTGCTAAAACAGGAACCATTTGTTCTCTGCTTGCCAAAGGTTGCTGCTGAACTCGTTCAATTTGATGTGCTATTCAGGCACGAGAGAGACAATCCCCTTCCCTCCCAAGAGACTCATTTCCTCCAAATTGCCCAGCCAACCAGCTTCTTAGCATCACAGAGAGCAATCTGTTCTAGCCGGTTTGGACCCAGAGCCTGCCACTGCTGTGGCCAGTTCTGGCCTCAGGGCTGCACCGGAGAGCTGTTGTGTTCTGTTAGGTGGCGACCATCCACTGGTGCATTTACACTTCCCTGAGGACAACTCAGGCTGAAGTCAATGGGAGTTAGGCACCTGTATACCTTTGAGTATTGGGCCACTGTGCTTTTAGATACGTGGTGAGGAGCACATCAAATAGATGACTTGCTCAGCACTGCTGAGAGGCAGAGCACTGAGCTCTCTGGGCTGGAGGTAACCAATAAGTCAAATTCACAGCTGAGTCTGCCCTTGACTGCAACTCACAGCTGCTTACACCCTTCCGGCAGCTGCTTTTCTTGCCCCACTCCTCCCCTTGGCAGGGCAGCTGCGTTCACTCCAGTAGGCCATGTTCAGAGATGACACGTAAGGTCGCACGTTAATAAGTAGGTAAGTCTAAGTCAGCCTAAGTTGGTGTAAATCATTTACTGAAGGGCTTGGAGAAGCTTTGAGTCCGCTCTGAATATGCCCTTTTGGCTCCCCACTGATCTCTGCTCCCCCAGCAGCCAGGGGTATGGAAGCTGAGGGAGCAGCACCGAGAAACTTGGGGCCAGAACATCCGCTGGTGTAAGTCAACAGAGTACCACTGAGTCACTGGGGTTATGCCAAGTGACACCAGTTGAGGAGGACATTGCTCCTGATGCGTAAGAGCCACAGTTCTGCTCTGGCCAGTACTGAGTGAAGAACACCTCTGCGAGGCGAGCGGAAGAGCAATTCCACACCCCCATCCCAAACTCCAGCCCACCTGACCTTGGAGTAGGTGGCTCCATTGATCACTTCTCCATTCCGCATCCAGACGATGGAGGCTGCTGGTTTGGCGTTGTCAGCATGGCAGGTCAGGTTCAGGGGATCCCCAGCTCTCAGGCTAATGACCGGGCCCCCAGTAATTACTGGGTCATCTGGAGGAACTGCAAAGAAATCAGACAAGAGAAAGAATGTAGTTTATAAGTTTCAGCCAAGCTACCCTTTGCTTGCAAAGTCTGTGCCTGCAGTGGTAGTTAGCAGGGCACACGTGGTGAAAATGGCAATCATGGGCTAAATTACGCTCTGGTACAGTCATGGAACCCCAAGGCAGTCAGCTTCAGTCAGGCTGTGGCTGATGGCAGAATATAGCCCAATCTTTGTACCATTCAACTTGATTTTCTTTTGTTGCCTGCATCTTAGCTGCGTCCCAGAGTCAAAAATATGGCAGCAATGGCACACTGATACTTAAGAGGCATAGACAAAGGAGACAAGGGATAAGTTTTCAGCAGAGGTTTGAAATGAGATGAAGAATTGATTGCTTGGTGAGATGTAGGAAAGCGTGAGCTGGTAGAGGAGAAGGCTCTCATACAAAACAGGGGCCAGAAGGAAAGAGGCTGGGATAAAGGCAACACAGGAAGGAGAGAGACAGATTAAACAAGAAAGAATGACAAAGGCCTAGGAGGTTGCTTGGATAAGTCCATGACCTTATGCTACAAAACAAAAGAGCAGCACGTGCACTTTCAGCCTAACAGGAAAGGAGAGAGCACAGCGTGTGCATCCCCTCTGTAACAGTCTGCAACAGCTCTGAAAACAAAATGGCTGCTAAGCTCTGCATGCAGAAAGAGTTCTTAGAAATTGAAAGGGCAGCACCCAGAAAACAAAGACATACCACACTCAGGTGACTTCTAAACACATGAAGGGCAGTTTAGAAGCGCGACCTAGAAAGAACAAGATGTGAAACCCGAAGGACTGGCCACCGAAAACCCAGCGCTGTGCTGGCAAATGTACAGTCTTTCCCCCCTTAATTATCTTTAAAAGCCTGATTAATGCCCAGCCTGCAGAAAGGTGGCGGAGGTGGGGGGGGAAGGAGGGGTTTGCAGAGCACCTGATGCTGTGAGGATCTGGGGTTTGTTGAGTGTATGCGGTAACAGTGTCTGTTTTTTATAAACACAAATATTTAAACTTCTCAGAGAGTTCAATCCTGGAAGCTTGAGGTCTCCACAGCCAGACAGAGAGGGATGTGGGTGCTTGTAAATGGTTAACATGTTAACTGTTAAAGGTTTATGGAAGTTCATCCACTTGAAATTTGGAATAACAACAGCTGTGTGATCTCAGGGAAGAGATGGCTATTTGCAACGGAGATTGGTATGCTAGATCACAGTGAGTCTGGGGTATTTGCAGGAGTTTAAGCAGTCGCGAGGGGATTCGGCAGAGAAGAGAGGCTCCGTGTTGAAACCTTTATTAACAACTGTGCCTGAAATGGCTCAAAATGCTGGAACCAACACCAACATGTTTCCCCCATTTATTTATTTATAATGTTGCTGACTGCACTCACCTAGTGAAACATACACTGCTCATTTTATGAGGGCCCCAGGGAGAAAACTGTCATGCAATCTAGTGTACTCCATTCAAGAGCGAAGCAATGCAAGGTGCTCGGTCTAACAGAACAGAAAAGAGCAGCGAGCAGACACAATTTCAGTCCATTTTACACACTGACAGGGAGAAATGATTTCTTATAATCAGACTATGGGCCAAATTCATCCCTAGCTGCAAATTCACTGCAGTCAGCGGAGACACACCAGAAATTCATCTGGCCCAACATTTCTGTCTGTGACCAGAGACAAGATCCTCAGTTGATAGGATATGAATCAATGTTACTTTGTCGAACTCAATGGAACTACACCAATTTACACCCATTGAGGATCAAGTCCACAGGAGTTTATACCAGCTGTCTAAGCCTGCGCCTCCCTACCCCTAAATGCCAGGTACCCAGAGTAACTTTTCTCATGGCACAAAACTAAGATTGCTTCACACTTCTGGGTGTTTATACTTCACCCAGCATCATGGTATCTAGTAGCCAGGGGCTGATCTGGATGTGGATTTTAAGCACTGCAAAGTGTGTGGTGAGTGTTCAGAACTGGTGTTTTGGTTCAGCCCATTAGAGCGATGGACAGGTGTTTGGAAAAGTCATCTCTACATTCAGATTTCAACGCTCCAAAGACCGAGAGGGCTGGAATATGGGAGTTTGGATATAGACTAGTTACATCAAGTACGTTCTATCTAAAGCACCCGAAGGCCTCCATTAACCTAGTACTTAAGTACCTCACAGTCTTCTATGTCTCCTCACATGCCCCGGTCAGACAGGGAAGTGCTGTTATCCCTGTTTTACAGATGGAAAACTGAGGCACAGAGTGACTAAGTGACTTGACTAAGGTCAAACAGGAAGTTTGCACCAGAGCAGGAATTTGAACGCAGCTTGCCAAGTTCTAGGCTGCTGCCCTAACTCCTAAAGCATCTTTCCTCTCTGCAAATTAGCATGCTGCACTGGGATGGCAGGGGTGTATAAAGTGATTTGCACTCGCTCCTCCTCAACCAGAAGCTTGCCAAATAACTTCCACGCAGATTGCCAGACATCGTGGTCCCAATCTGACAGTGGTGTGAGTGGGCACAATTCCCATAGACATCAACAAGGGGCACACCCATTTGTGCCAGGGCTGAGGAGGGTCCTGCGCCATCCTAAAGACATTTCCCTACATGCAGAGAGTTTCTAGGAGAGTAGGGTTTATAGCATAAGCAGCTGTAGGTCACACAGCTCGGCTGGACTAGTCAAAACATTTACATCATGCTGGCAAATGAATTTGAGGCGAGGAATTGGATGCAGGCAGCCCTGTGCAGAGTCCAGTCATGGGGAAGGGGAGTGGCACTGTATTTATGGTTTCTCTGTTGCTTTAACGTGACAAAGTTACTGTCGCCTCTTCTCTGCCTCTTGTTACGCGTAGGGTTGCCAGGTCCCACGCAGACGGATGGAGACGCCCTCATTTGGCATTCGTTTGAAGGGAGGTTTTCAAGCATCTCCCTCTGAAGAAAGATTTTGCTGTGAGTGATGAGGAGACGTTTCAGATCTCAGCCTTCCTTTGAAATTCCCATCAATCAAGCTGTCATAGCCTGACAGCCTGCTACGAGGGGTGCCTCTCATTAGGGGCCCCAGCCTAGCTCTATCACATACAGCAGGGATTCGTCCATTTCTGGAGCTGTGAATCCTTTCTGAGCAGAGATGTGGCGTGATGGAAACTGGGCAGAGGCAGCCAGAGGTTGTTCCCATCCGCTAGCCACAGTGACACGAGCGTCATGGGGCTCAGCCCAGCTCTGCATCTCCAAACACCACCAGCACATTGGCACGAATTGGAGATTTCAGCCCAGAGGCCAAGAACTGAATGGGTCATCAACCCTGAACTTCCCTCTCTCTCTCTCTCTCGCATGTGTGTGTGGGGGGTGGCGTTTCACGGCTCTCAGCTCAGGTATTGGGTGCATCAACTAGGTGTTCCATGCTCTGGACCTGCTCTGGGGCGATAACCAGAGGGCTTTGCTCTCCATGGCTGCTAATCCAGCACCTTTGTCCAGCTCCAAACCGACATCTAGCAGGGCTTATTGAAAAGGTGGCTTATGCCACAAAGAGCACTGAATGCCCTCTCATTGCAAACAGACCTCACCATATTTCAGATGGTGCTTGGATTTGGCTTGAAGTCCCTTATGACAGGTAGAGCTTGAGCTGAAGATGAGAGCGAGTGCGTGGTGGGGGTGGGAAGGGTTGTGCTGTTCCCTGGGCCCAAGTAGAAGATTTATTTAGAACAAGACAGAAAGGTGCTCAGATGGCTGATCTGTCAACAGACGGACAGGAAAGGGAGTCATTGCCTCGTCCAGGCAGATGACTGGAGGGAAGGTGGGACATAAGATTCCTTCTCCACTGGACAGGCAGGGTGGACAGCCGCCCACCTCCCTGCCTTGGGGAGCAGATGCTGCTGCAGAGAAGCTACTCAGTTACACAGGGAGCTCACTGTGCTGGGATGGGGCCCAGCTATGACCCACTCTGGGAGCTCGCGGGCACCAGCTGAACAACGTGACCGCGAACGTTTGAAACGGACCGAGCCCTGTCTGGCACCCACATGTGCGTCTCTGTTTCAGCACCTGGGGTTCCTGTATTTTGGGCTGAGAAGAAGGTACTCGGCAGGCTTTGCTGGCTTCTCTACCCCTGAGCTAAGCTCAGGAGATGGGGAGGGAGCATGCTCCCCAACACCTCAGAACTGGTTACGGCGGCCAAGTTGCTCCCCCTGCCCCCAACACGCCCCTCCTGTCTGGCTGTGGCACTGCAGCAACTTTTGCTTCAGCCTCTCATTCTACAGGGATCCATATTCTCCACCTATTCGTAGGACAGATTCCAAGAGTGTGCAGAGACATATAGTACCATAGGAACGGGACAGCATGGGAATGAGACTGTACATGAACAATCCATGTGTGAAAAGAAAAGGGGGACTTGTGGCACCTTAGAGACTAACCAATTTATTTGAGCATAAGCTTTCGTGAGCTACAGCTCACTTCATCGGATGCAACCGGTGCAACTGATGAAGTGAGCTGTAGCTCACGAAAGCTTATGCTCAAATAAATTGGTTAGTCTCTAAGGTGCCACAAGTCCTCCTTTTCTTTTTGCGAATACAGACTAACACGGCTGTTACTCTAAAATCCATGTGTGGTTACTTGCTCTCGCTGTGGATCATAGAGGGAACGTGCTCAGATCTCGTTGAGGTTCATGGAACACACAAGCAGCCCAAAGAGGGGGAGGAAACAAGGACTTAGAAATCACCAGCAATTTAAATTACAGCAACAATCCTCTTCCCTAACTGGAACAATAATCAACATCATCATCATTTAGCTCTTCTGTAGCATCTTTCAGGTGAGGATTTCAAAGGGTCTGACATGCTGTAATGAATTTAAGCTTACAAAAGTTACAAAATATTTATAAAAGTATTATTCCTCCTTTTACAGATGGGAAAGGAGACGCCTAACCTAGAGTGGGCAGCAGGGTTCATTGCTTATATTTTAGCCCTCAGCCGTGAGGAAACTTTTGCAGTGGAAAGGCAGATGGCAAGTGAATTTAGGCACCTAAAGG